CCGTATGCATTGCTGAGGCACCATACATCAATCCTTTCAGCACCGACTTTAAAAAGGGGCATACCGTTATGGTGTGCAATGGAGATATATTAAAAACATGTTTGGATTCCCTGACTAAGAGTTCGGTTCATCTTTAAACCAAAAAATCTATGCAGTCAGGAAGGAGATGCGGACTAAATAAATGCTTATTTTTATGAAGGATCAGGGCTGTTTCTTAATGCTCAACCATGTGCATGACTCCTGGCTAAAAATGCATTCCTAATATCACACACTTCACCACAGAAACGCTCGCATGTCCAGACAGAAGCCACATACACACTCAAAATACCTTTTACCACACAAACAAGACATTGTCCTTTATCACTGTGTCTTCTTTTGTACCCAGACACCAGGCGTATGACCAACTGACCATCATGCACATCCAACAATAAAGCACTATCCAATGCTTACACTAGGGGATTGATAAATAAACTGACCTGACCAGAAAATCGCCCATCAGTAACCCATTCACCTCGCCATCAGTATACAATGTGACTACAATATTGTTTTTATTTTAAACAATGGTTAAATTCAGTTTTCAATTGGAGTTCTGTTGTAATATTTTGTAACTGTCCATTCTCGGTCTTATCACAAGAGTAGTATTGCCCTAAGCATTAATAAAAAAAGACCTTCATCAAAACCCCTCATATCTACTGAAATGACTGCTCTGGCATGAAGGCGATAAGCTGGCCTCTTCGACAAAAGCAGCCTCTATGCGATTAGAGCTATCCAAATTGAGACTGAATTTCTGAACCCGCAAATGACCTCATTAGCCACGTTTCTGATTGCAGCAGAAAATCCAGCCTGAGACCATCTTCTGAGAGCTGATTCAATCCGAATATACAATGGTCAATATTTTGTCCCTTATAACCAAAAGACCTATATTGGGTAAGTACCTGTAATGAATGCTCAGGGTGCATGTTATACAACTCTCTTTCTGAAAACTATTTTTCTGACTATATGGCACCAATATTTTGCCCCATTCTGGAAGATTTTACTACACGTGTCTGGTACGTCATAGACAAATGTTGCTAGCAGCATTCAAATGTGTTTATGTTTGTGAAGACTGTGTGTAGAGTATGGAGATCTAATAGCACAATTCATAGCCGCCTTTGTCCCTGTTGGCAGGTTTTTCCTCTGGGATATACAGTGAAGGGGGATCTCTTCAAAGGGGGCCAAAGAGCACCGCACATTTAGTAGTATAGGGTTCTCAGATTTATATTGCTGAAGGTGAATGGGTGAATCCCTCTTTCCTTTTGTTATAATGACAGTCATCAGCAGGAGATGAAATGAGGGGAAGTTTCTCTAATGGAGATCCAGGTAATAACCGATAACAAAATGACAGAGTTTCTAATCCTTCCTCACTTAATTCTAAAGTAAAATCATGTAAAACCTTAATACTGAAAAGTTACTTCTAAAGTCCAATCAAACTTTCAGTTTAAATCTGCTAAATACATTCCAAGTGCATTAAAAGAAAATGTCTTCCAGTTCTTTCAGAAGGCAGCTACAGCCTAGACTAGAAGGGCCTTTGCTCTGGGTAGAAGCAGTAGCCTCTCCGCAGAGCTCTGACACACCTTCTGCAGAGTCGGAGCTAGAGCAATCCAATCTAATCTTTACTGATCTAGCCCGCATTTTCACTGAAAATGCTAGGTGCCTGGCTGTCATGCTGATTCTTTGTCTTAAACACTTTCAGAGTCAATGACCCAAAGCAAGTATAGAGATGAACCCTGACACTCACGTGCTGCATTGCTTGTTCTAAATCAGTTACTCAAATACTGAAGACAAAGAGAGCTGGTTAACTAGCAAAATGAGGCTGACAACAGCTTCCATCTCTCTCTTTTTTTTCTTCTACAGTTTCACAAAACACAACTGTCAGTGATACTAAATTGTTTTGGAATATGTAACCGTCAAAGAACCTACAAATCATTCAGTATAAGCAAATTAATGTAACCAGTACCTTCAAAATGCCTACAGGCAATAAGCAGAATAAGCAAACCTTTAGGCCTCATGCACACCAAAACTGCATTGAAAATGCATGCGTTTTAGCCATTGCATTGCGCTTTGCCGCGTTTTTGATGCAGTTTTTTTTTCTCAAAATGCAAATCAGACCATATGTCACTTCCTTCTTCCGGCCACAGCACTTTCCTCCTTCATTTTCTAGCTCAGACATGCTTCCTTTGTTTGAAGGCGTGGTGTTAGTGTTGGCTATAGCCATTCTCACCCAACGTAGGAGGTTATTATAATATTATAATAATAATAATAATAACGTCGTTATTGGGTGCACCCCTTGCTGACGGTCAGAGATATTTGTTTATTAGATTAGCATCCATGTCTGCCATGTTTCCAGAGCTGTTCCATTCCTAATCTCCTCTACCAACTCACAGGAAGTCCCCAGAAGATGACATTACTAAATCTGTGGGTTTTTATTTTTTAGTTGCGTTTTTGATGTGTTTTGATGCATTCCGTCGCAGCTAAAATAGTGCAAGCAGTACTTTTTCTGGCTGCATCGGAAAGGACTAGTCTGGTGTGAACAGAACAACAGAATCCCATTGGAAATCATTGTGCTGCGTTTTTGATGCAGCTCAAAAACGCGACAGACTGCACCTGGTGTGAATGGGCCAGGGTACACACAGGAGTGTATCTACCGCAAGGCAAACTAGGCATTTGCCTAGGGTGGCGCTTTCCAGGGGAGCAGCAGAAAACGATGCCCCAAACCAATGAGGCGGACAGGGCTGGACTTGGGCATAATGGGCATTTGCCCAGTGGGCCGAGGCTGGGTGGAACAGAATCAGGCGGCTGCCTAATGTGACAAACTAGGCGGCCGCAAGTTCCTAAGAGCGGCTGCCTAATTAGAGAGCTGCCCGGTGGAGGGGAGGGCCCTATGAGTTGCGGTCCGGCTGGCTTTGTGCAGGAGGTGGGGTGAAGCAGCGGGTGGCTCGGGGCTGGCCATAGCATGTGATCTTATGGCAGGATGTCCCAGAAGCAGGCTGGGGACTGCAGTGTATTCTGTTGGTACTGATGGCACTTCGAGCTGCAGGTAAGAAAAGCAGCACATGTATGCAGGAAAAGTCCTCCTGAGACCCTGCACAGCTCACCATAAACCCTGCACAGCTCTCCTGAGACCCCATACAGCCAACCTCAGACCATGCACAGCTCTCCTGAGACCCCGTGTGCGCTGTATCCAGTGACTGACAGGTTGCACAAAATGTAATAAACAGGATGGGGTGGGGCAAATTTAGATTGAGGGGGTGCCGGAGTTTAGTCTTGCCTAGGGCAGCACAAAACCAAAATACACCACTGCTGTACACAATGAGTGAACTTCAGCCGATTCAGCAGGAATTGGCGGGCATTCGCTGTGTTGGTGACTCTATTACATCAGCGGAAATTGATTAGATTAACTTTTGCCGAAGGAACATGTCTGTTAATTAGGGCTGCACCGATATATCGGCCGCTGAAACATATCGGCCGATAATGGCACTTTTGGCATAATGCCGAAATACCATTTTCTGGCCGATATAGTGGTGCATCTATTCTTGCTCTCCTTCCCGCTGGGCGCTGCTCTGTGTCCCAGCTTGGAGGAGAGAAACAGTCACAGGCGGCCGAGCGCTGCGGGAGAGCACTGTGAGCGGCCGGCGTCTCTCCTCCCACACTGCTCAGCCTCCTGTCACGGATCAGGGGAGAGCGGTGTGGGCGGAGATGGCCAGCACTGTCACAGGAGGCTGGGCTCTGCTCGCTCAGCCTCCTATGAGAGTGCGTCAGGAAGGAGAGCGGGAACAAGCAGTCAGTGATGGCTGAGTGTTTGTTTGTAAATAATTGAGGACATTGTGTGTTTACTATATCCTCAATTAGGAATGAATGGGAAGTGATCTACATCACCTCCTGCTCATTCATGATTGTGGATCTAGTAAACACACAATGTTCTCATGTTATGAATGAACAGGAACACTCGGAGGATTCCTGTTCATTTATAACAGGGGCTGCAGAAATAGAGATTGAGGACTCGGTGTCCTCAATCTTCTAACATTTTCGGTCTGACTTTTTTAGTTTCAGTTTTGAAATTTTAATTTTGGTGCACCTCTACTGATGATCTTTGGTCAAAGGTGCTTGCAGCCAATCAAGTATTCTGACAGAGGTCGGGAGTTGCTGTCAAAATACAATGCTCAGTGGGGGAGTCGTCTATCCACGCTGATCGGCGTGGATGGAGGAATGTTATATTTTCTTCATTCAGCCAGCAGGTTGAACGAAGAAAATAGAAGCGTGTATACTTGACTTACTAGGCCTACCCTATGTAAATAGCAATATGCAGTAGACATACCAGTCATGACTATTCACGGTCTGAATGCTGCAAGGTCATTGTTATATAAACTGCCTTACTAAATAAACTCAGACCGGAGCATTTACGGGAGCAGGCTCTCTCTCTCCCGAAGCGCACTGCATGTTCGTTGGGACCTGAGTCTTCATAGACTATCTGATTTTAGGTCAGATTTTCTCTGTTGTTCCCTACATACAGTTATTGGGAAACAAAGTTCTACAGCAGTGCACAATCAATGTTTAGGGAATGTCAACTCCCCCAAACACTTCTGTCCAAGCTACTGTATTTGCCATTTCCCTCAGCTACTGTCTTACAAATTTCTCTCATTGTAAGAAACACTGAAAAAAAAATCCAGACACAGCTATGGCTCTGCAATGCACCGTTATTTCTACATTAGCAGGAAAATAAAGTGAACTTTGTGGTTTTCCTCTTGTGTGTCAATGTCGAACACATTCCTCACTTTACAAGCTTTGCCGAGAGCTATATCAGCATGTTCTTTTAAAGCATAAGCAGCTAATTTCATGGTCACTGACACTTGACCTCACCGCACATCAATAATAGACTGCGCCAATGCTGTGTTGAGACAGGTGCTCATATGGCCGTATACATTTCTCACAGCTTGGTTGTTTCTGCAGCATTCTCTACTCACCAGGACTATGAGAGCGCCATCGCTCTCCTTCTCTTCTGGGTGCTGCCGTCCTCCAAACTCCACCACCTTCTTCTTCCTCACCATTTAATTCTTCCCGCAAGCTGCGCCAGTTCCCACTTTCAAAGCGGACAAACTCGTGCTTTCTCACAGCGGGTGCAGCACCTCCTTCTTCAAATGTGGGCCGCACTGAGAAGGTTTAGGGGAGAATTAGTACTAATAACAGAAATTCAGATCTCATTATATAGTAGGCCAGGGAACATAAATCTAGCCTTATAGAACTAGAGCAGAAGTAAATCACACCAAACCAAAACACTTTAGCTACAAATGACTTGCATTCATCACAAAAAAGATTTGATATTTATACAAGAACTGTGCAATGCTAGTATCTATATAAATAATTGTACAAAAAGCAGTCCCTGATAATTGTAACATTATCCCCGATACACTTCCCTGTGAAACCAACACTTGTTTAAGTTACTTGTTATCTTAAAGAAGAACTCTGTGCAAATAAAATATTAACCCTTACAGTGGGGCTACCTGTACTGCAAGGGTTAAGTGCTCCTTTTGTCTAGCGAGCTAAAATCACAGAAACATACTTGCCCGAACCACGATCCCGCCTGGCTGCTAGAACAGCCCCATTAACCTTGCTCCCCCGGTCCACTGAGTCATCACGTCCAATACAGTCTATAGGACGTGAGGATGCCGAGGGGCAATCCATCGCTGGAGTAGAAGAGACAGGCTGAAGGAACCAGTGTAGAGGCCAGCCTGGATCATGGTTCTGGCGAGCACTTAACCCTTGCAGTGCGGGGGTTTCCCACTACAAGGGTAAATATTTTATTTGCACGGAGTTCTCCTTTAAAGTTAATTTGTGCTGCCAATGCAGGGCAAAGCAACAAATTAACTTTAATGCAGACCTCCACAGATGCACATATTTATCTTGCTTTTAGTCTACCACCACTCCGTTCTGCTAGGAAGCCCTCTGTGACCAGAGTTGCAGCTTACCTAGGGTTATGGACTTCTCTGTGCCAGGTCTGATTGGTCGACCACAGTAAAGGAGATGGGGGGAGCAAAGGAAAGGTAAGTATAAATTGCTGGGTTCAGGTAAACGTTTAGATGTTTCAACGCTGCACCAACTTTTTTAATTTAATGCACACGTCCACACAGGGACCATGGGGAACAAAAGTAGCCCCCCTCCAGAAGGAAGGACAGTGTCAGCACCAATTCAGAGATGATTTGAGGATCTTCAGCCGAGTGATACACAAGTAAGATACATTTTTGTTCGCATTTAAGGTACTTGAATGTATTTTAAGATTTAACTCCGGAGTTAGTGTTATTTTAAAGAACTCTAACAAATGTAAAAATTAACCCTTGCAGTGGGGCTACCCCCGCACAGCAAGGGTTAACTGTTCGTTTTGGTCTGGGGGATAAAATAAAGAAAACATACTGACCTGATCCCCGCTGCCTCTTCTCCCCTGGGTCCCTGAGGTCTAAGGACCCATGATGTCATCATGTCTAAACGTGAGGACGCCGAGGGACATTTCACTGCCAGAGCAGAGTGGGAGAGCGCTCACCATTGCACAACTAAGGATCAGGTGAGTATATTCCTTATTTTAGCCCCTAGACCAAAACAAGCCGTTAACCCTTGCAGTGCAGGAGAAGCCCCACTGCAAGGGTTAATTTGTACATTTGCTGGAGTTCCCTAAAAAAGAACAACTTTCTATTCATTAGAAAAATGGCAAGGCGGCAATTGTAATTCATTAACAAAGTTTTCACTGCGTCATCTATTTGGCATGCATGCTCCTATATAAGGTGGATCCTATTTTCTGACCAGAATCTGGTCAGAACAGGAATCAAACACTCTGGAATCCGCCCAGGACTCATTAGTGGGGCATTTTTGGCCTATAGCCAAGAAAGCTGTTTATGGAGAAAAAAAAAAGAAAAAACTAAAAAAAAGAGTGTGTGAAGTGGTCTGCAGGAGGGGAGAACACAGGGTCAGGAATTCTGTCTGGGTAATGTTTATGGTAGACCTGTTCACCTGTTCATTGCTGGCCATTCAGACTGCCTATCTCAATGATCACTCCCTAAAGACATGTACATAACTACATACAGCTCTAGTATGTATGTAAAGCTGAACAACAAGCTTCTTAATGCTCCCTTTTGGTCTGCTAAGTGTATCTTTTAAAGTGTTTTGTCTCATCAGCCGAATAATTGAAAAAGAAAACCTGCACCTTCTCACAAAAATCTTCTTCCTGTACTTTCTGCCTGTGCACAAGGAGGGGTTATGGAGATGAGAAGGGGAAGGAGATGGAGAGGTCCATGCTCCTTGTAATGCATCACACAAACTAGGCAGAGGTGACAACATGGAGGGTTGACATTCAGAGCTGAAAATACTGAGAATTTATCCACACTGGTGAAGCTGCTCATGGCAACCAGTCAGCTTCTCTCTTTCGTTTTTAAAACTTAACTGAACTAACTGAAGAGAGAAGCTGATTGGTAGCTATGGACAACTGCTCCAGATTTGATGAATTTCCCTCACTGTGGTGTCATGTCAAAGAGGAAACTAGGGGAACATCATATTTCTGCTAAAATCAACAATTACATTTCTGTATTTTTAGTGAGTTTAAAGTGACAAAACACAAGGATGTGTGTGTGTGTGCGCGTCTTCCAGAGATGTATGAAATAGGTGGAAAGTGTTAGAACCCTTGTCAAGTTTGGACTGCTATCCAGGGGCTCATTTAGAAAGATTTCCCCTCACTTCCTGTCCTGCTGATAATGGTTTACCAGACAGGAAGTGAGGGCAAACCTCCAACAGAAGGGGGTGTGGAACTCCTATCTCCCGACGCCCAAGACATGCAGTTTCAGGCGCCAGGCGAGTCGTTCTTTTGCACATTTAGCCCTGCTTCGGGCAAGCAGAGCTAAATGTACAGGTTTTTATACAAGTGATCTGATTAGATCACTTGTATGAAACGAACAGCGATCTTGTTCAGGGCCCATCATAATTTTCCTGGCCAATCATAATCAAGACAGCAAAACATTGAGCTGGACTCTCTGGCAATCAGGAAGCCGGGTGGCTTTGTAAAGATCAGGATTCAGTAATGCTCTTCAAACGGCAAAGGGACCACTAAATTACCAAGTGACTAAACAGAATAGGTACAAACTACTAGACAACTTGACCTTCCAAAACACAAAAGTCTGTTTGTTGAAGACTTATGATTCATATTTGTAGTCCTCTATAGCCGTTCCCATTCTGCATTCATTGCTGTATAATTTTACACTTTTCATTTCACTATATTGCACACCACACTTTTTTTTTTTACTTTTTTTTACCACCGCTCCAAGCTTGCTCCTGTGATGGACTGCAATTGCAATACAAACTAGTAGTCCTATCACTGGAGCCATTTTTTAAAATGTATTTTATTTTTTATCTGATTAAACGATTAATCGAACGTAATAATCAGATAACTAATCGATTTTGAAAATAATCGTTAGCTGCAGCTCTAATTCACTTCTTCAGAGCCTTAAGCTGGCCATACATTGTAATATTTTCTTTGTTCAACCCGCGGGCTGATTGAAGAAAATATAACAGATTCCTTCATTAATGTTTACTAGCGTTGACCGAGGAAACTCCGCTGCCTCCATCGTATTCTGACAGCGGCGGCTGCTTGCTTTGCTCGTTCGAAGATTTTCCAACCAGCTCCTTCGATCAGCTGATCAAGGGATGCCGGACGAAAGGGTGCCGACAGTGGCACCCACTGAGAATTTTGCCCGCATCATGAAAGACCTGATGAAATTTGCATAGTGTATGGCCAGCTTTAGCGGCTCATTTATAATGGAGAGCAGATATTGATGTGTGCCCTCCGTTTTATTCCTCAGTACTGCTTAATATCATGACTTGCCCATTCATAAAATGTATCCTGTGGCGTTTTCTCTGTTTTAATGCAGCAGAGAGGACTTTGTAATTGCAGGTGAGTCGGTCACGTGCTTGGGCTTTTTCATTTAATAGAGGCTTCAGAGACCAAAGGCTAGGAAAATTGCTGAACATATTTATAAAGAACATTTCTGTGGTTTATAAATGTGCAGTAGTTTTGTAAAATTAATTTTTTTAAAGCAACAGTCGGGTCATGTAAGCCATTATCAAATCGGCCTGAGTGCAAAAAGAGAACTCTGGTCTTTAATTTTATTTAGATATACAAATGAAAAATCAGTTTAAAGCCAACTCCAGTCAAATATTTTTTTGTAGTTTTAAATAGAATCTTTGCTTTGTGTGTCCCTTTTGGGTAGATTGGCCCCTACTTCCTGTTTTGACACCCATCATATGGAAATGGTGTGTGGAGGAATTTCTCCAACTGGGACACGAAAAGTAGTTCTGACTTAAAAAGCATTCTACCCCACTTCTAAGAAGATAGTTTCACTGCCGTCACTGGCCTCAAAGGGAACATTTCTTACGATGCCCTATACTGCCTAACAAACAGGAAGGGACAGGAAATCTTCACAGTGGGCCACAGACAGCACAAACTTTGAGTGAAGGTTTTGGCTGGAACATAGCTTTAATGGTATGTGTTAATCTACTAAAAATGGTGTTACTATGCATAGTTTATAATTATACATTTACATAAGCAGGCTCTGCTTCATGCTTAGTAGTGCTGCACAATGGATGTGCCTTGCTAATTCTATTATTACAAATCTACCAGACAAAGTCTGTCTTGTTTTAAAAAATGCTCTTAGAAGCCAGAGACCACAAACCATTTAGGTCACAAAATGAAGCTCGGAAACAGCATGTGTTTATTCATGGCAATAAATAGGTACTTTTTTTTTTATCCAAAATCAAGCGATTCACATTAGGTCCACTTCAAGTAGAAGGAGCTTCTCAAGCAATAGAAGTGAAACTTCGTTGTAGAATGAAAAACACCATTTTATTCAGTTTAGATGTTTAAATGAAAAATGTTTTGATAGAACACCGGCTGATTGAAGCCAGGAGAAGATCACTATTAGACAATGCCCGAATTTGGATCGGGTGTTCCCCCAGTGTGGTGGTCCAACGCTGCAGCACAGCCAAAGGAAGTTACATTGGTAAATAGATGTGGCACAAGCCTGGCTATCTTATGTGCACGGTTGTTTCAATCTTTTGTCAGGTAAAACCATTTTAAATCTGTCTATATTTCTGCGTTCAATGCAATGTTGTCTCATACCACCACCAAGTAATAGATTCTTAGTTTTTGTTTGAACAATCCTAAACCTTTGAAGGGGATTTCTGGGTTTTTCGGGAAAACTCTATCATTCCTCATATAGTGGCCACTGCCTCTACAATCCAGACTCTGGCTATTCTTCAAAACCTCAGGTAATGTTTTGCTCTGTCCGCTACTTATATTGCAGGGCACTTTTTTTTACTCGCCGGCACAAGAGGCTGGACAAGAAAATGAACGCTACTTTGGCTTAACAATAAATACATTGGAAGACCTCCAATAGGCAAGACAAAGGATATTACATTTAACTATAGACATGATGAGAAAAGTCAGATATGTGGATATGATCTGACCAGCAGAAGATCAATTCTTATATCAGTGGGGGAAGTGGCATACACTTCCAGCTCAAGGGCAACAGCAGCAAGAACTGGTTGACGTTCATGTTAAGTAAATGGGCACATTAAAAATAACTGGTATATTAATATCAGTGCCTGATCCTGCAGATTTTGGAAGGATCAATATATAAATTAGAATACCTATAAGCACACCTTGAGACCTTTACCAACTCTCCCAGTCAATAGAGCTATTGGGAAGGCACACCAGTAGAGACATTATTGTTGCCAGGCAAAGCTGGTGCCAGGAATATTTATAGAACACACAAACTGCTTGAGAAATGTTAAGGATCATGTTTATGTGGCTGCTGGGCATCTAAGAGATTGTTAAAAGTATTTGCCAACATCTGACCTCCTTCTGCCTGAAGAGGACAGACTTGGAGGAGAGGCAATAAACCAAATGTGAATGTTTGGCAAGAGTAGAGGTCATGTGGCTACTCTAAATTATATATTCAATGGGGAGGGATTAATAAATCTGCAAGAAGATACACAGCATAGCGCCCAGAGAAAACCGCTCCTGATAAGCATTAAGAATAAACTGACTTGCTCAGGGAATAGTACCTTCTTTAACCCAATAACAATGAAACAGAAGATGTGACAGCACATGAGCATGGGCACAACTTAAGGTGCTGAATGCTGAGAGGGTTAAACCACTGATTATTGCGGTTTCAAGTGGTTAAAGCTATGGAAGGGGTACTTGCGTAGCTTCTCCAAACACGGTTTGCTCTGGGCATGCACTGACGTGCCACTGGCAGCAGGAGGTTCAAACTTTGGGCAGGACGACAGAACAGAAGCACTGAGGGGGGTGGGATTTGGGTCATTACTTTAATATTCAGCACCACAGGCCTGAAGACGGCTTTGCTCCTCCAAGAACAATGAGGCTCTGTTCTCTACAATCCGCTTAACTGGACAGAGGTGAGCAAAGTCCAGTGGAAAACAAGTACCCACCACCTCCAAAATGCACACAACTAAAGTGCTGGGTCTTCACCCCATCCCCCACGGACAACCTATGACAGTTCTCAAAACAAAATTGCCAGTTCTTGGCACACACCTCCATGACCCATGATAGAGAATATACACGAAAGGGGACAGACCAAACAGAACACAATTGTTCCTGCAAATGAAGGTTGTAGAAAGTAACTCAGCATGCATTCCCGGTGACTTTTGACCTTCACACCGTAGGACATTTCTGCCAAACAATAACCCCCGCCTCTCTGATGGTACTGAAGACTTCTACGAAGTGAGCCTAACACAAGGTGATTGAAACTATCAGACACATATTCAGCAACAAAGGGCTGAGATCTAATTTTAAACAGTGGAACAAATCAGTGTGAACCTTTTTTGCAGCTTGAACATGACATTGCTATATATATATGACACATGACATTGCTATATATATATATATA